GTGTCCCGGCTCTGATTAGGTCCAGGAGGCCTGGCTGCTGGGCGGGGGGGGGGGGGGAGGGAGGTGGGGGGGGCGGAGGACAGAGGGTCTCAGTCCTGCCTGGACACCAGAGCCCCCTCCACCACCGGGAGGACAGGAGCAGCAGGGTGCAGGCTGAGGCCTGACTGACGCTCCGTGTCCCCCAGGCTCACGACTCAGCGGAGCGCAGAAGATGAGGAGGAGGCCGCCCGCGAGCGTCGCCGCCGGGCGAGGGACAGGGAGCTTCGGGCCCAGGACGAGGACGGCGGCCAGTCCCCCGAGCCGCCGGAGCGGGAGAGCCTGTAAGCCGCCCCCCAGCAGTCCGCCTGGCCCCGCTCCCCAGGGCAGAGGGGAGGCTGGTGGTGGGGCCCTGGGCTAGGGCTCCCGGAGGAGGAGAGTGAGGAGGGGCTCAGCGGGGGTGCGGAGACAGCTTAGGGTGAGGGTCCCTGAAGCCCGAGGCGCCAGTGGAGCCCGCCGGCCGGCCGCAGGGACTCACGTGCGGCCACCCCTCCCAGCCAGCCTCCCAGAGCGCTGACTCAGGCTCTGGCCGCCCTGCGCGGCCCTGGCCCCTGCTTGGACCGACACTGACCCCAGCTGCGTGGCCCTGGCCCCGGAGCCCCCCGCCCAAGCTCCCTGCTGCCGGTGACTCATGGAGGCCACGTCCAACTTGGCGGGCCGCAGGCCGGCTCGTTTCCTCCCTGGGCCCAGGAGGCCTCCGCGGCCGGGCTGGGCTGTTTTTACAATAATGCCCCCCTTCCTCCCGCCCCTGTTTTGTTCCATTTTCTCCGAGTCAGCAGCTCTGGGCGGGGTGGGGTGCTGCAGCGGTCACGGCCCCTCAGGCCAGGTCCTCAGTTTAGATAGCAGGGGCTGGGGGCACATGGGGAGCCCACCAGCACCAGATCCCAGGCCTGCCCTGACGGGGGGGGGGGGGCGGGGGACAGGGGCTCACCCTGCTGCCCGCGGAGGGAGCAGTCACCAGAGCCCTGGAGGGAGACGTGTCACCCACACACGGGGACCCCAGGGTGACAGGGGAGGCACAGCCCAGCAGTCAGGGGGCCCTAGACGAGTGGAGGAGGCACAGCCCAGCTCTTGGGGAGCCTTGGACTGATGAGGGAGGCATAGTTCAGCTCTCAGGAGCCCTAGACTTGAGGGGGGAAGCATAGTTCAGCTCTCAGGAGCCCTAGACTGAGGGGGGAGGCATAATTCAGCTCTCAGAGGCCCTAGACTGATGGGGAGGGGGCACAGCCCAACTCTTTGGGAGCACTGAACTGATGGGGGAGGCATAGCCCAGCTCTCAGGGGACTCTAGACCAAGGGAGGAAGCACAGTCCAATTCTCAGGAGGCCCTAGACTGATGGGGGAGCACATCCCAGCTCTCAGGAGGCCCTAGACTGATAGGGGAGGCATAGCCCAATTCTCAGGGGGCCCTAGACTGATAACGGGAGGCCTAACCTAGCTCTCAAGATATCCTAGACTGATGGGGGAAGCACAACCCAGCTCTTAGGGAGCTCTCAACTTATGGGGGAGGCATAGCCCAGCTCTCAGGGGACTCTAGACTAATGGGAGGGGCAGAGCTTAATTCTCAGGAGGCTCTAGACTGATG